ATGCGAACTCCCCTCAAGACTCTTCTGGAATTCATTGAATATACAGGGATAATGAGGGAGTAAAAGTACGAGGGCACAATAGGACAGAAATGACCACGGTGCGAGGCCAAACACCACCTCGGCGGTGAGGAAAGGGTTTTAGTGGGTACACAGCTTAGCTGGAGTCCCACACATATCAGAGCGACAGACCACCAGCTCTGGGAGTGCATAAAAGAGCATTTCCCAAACCTCACCGGAAAAAAAAATGTAACTCGGTTCGACAAAACTTGTGGGGATTTTCCTATGTATGACAAACGTGCGTGGTGAAATGCTGAAAAATATCACTTAAATAATGGCTAATGGTTGCATTATTAGAGTTTAATAGTGAGTAAAGTGAATACGCCACTACTACGCGTCGAGATTCCGAAATCGTCAATGGTACGAATTAATATATGTACTCAATACTGTGTCACCTCTATTCATTGCAAAAACCAAAATTCGACTCATTTTAAATGGTCCTACTTTTGGAGAATAAAAAATAGGCTCTTTCTATGAAGAAACAGTTGCTTTGAACATAACTAAATTTTCAAAATGAATGTACAAAAAAACCAGCAGATTAGCATATAGGTATTTTTTATTATTTCTGCTAAATTCATAAAAACGTATTTAGCTAACTAGTGAATAAAATCGTGTTTAGTCGTCTCCTTTTCCATTATTTACACATTCATTGGTACGCATAACTGGAATATTCACATAAGTCAAATGTTTTTCGTCTAATTTTTTGGGAGCAGTAATTGTCAAGACTCCATCAAAAGATAATTTTGACTGCATCTTCTTTATATCGTAACCGTCTGGAACCAGATACTTCCTCACAAAATGTCGGGAAATAAATCCGTGGTCGTCTTGCATCTCTTCATGCTTCCCTTCTATAACCACTGTGTTGTTTCCAAGCAGTTTAACAGAGAGTTCTTCAGGTTTGAATTGTTGCACATCAACATTTACTTGGAACTGCTTCGTATTTTTCAACACCGGCTTTGTTAACCATCCACGCAATTCTTTAGCAAATGGCTCTTCTTTGAAAGGATAAAAGTTTCTCAGATCGTTTTCCATGTTGAAAAAACTTGGATATCTGATGGAAGCTCGGGGAAAAATAAACGCATCTTCGAAGAATAAAGGTGCAAGGCTCATTTTTTGTAATGTCGAACTACTGGGCAAGAACGCGATTGAATTGAATTCAGAAGTGAAAGATTTGACGGCATCAAATTAAAAAGGTATTTTGGTTGGTTGGTACGCTACCTCAACAACCTGGAGTATAGTTTTCGCGTAAATAAAGAATCAAATAATTTAAAAAACCATAACGAAGTACAACTATATATTTTGTTCTTTCATTCTCCTACTTTAAACCTCTTTCAATATTCTTTTTATTTGCTTCTATGTTCTTATCTACTTTCATTCGCCTGTTTATCTATCACATGTAGCTCTTTAAATTTAAAAGTTTTCTCTTGTTCTTATGATCAACATAAGTTTCGACCATCCTTTTTGAAAGAGTTATATAAACGCGTCCATTATTAGCTGAATATTGAAGAAGTCAGTTCATATAATAATATAATGAAATAATTCGTTTTCCAATTTCCGAGTACTTTACAAAGAATTCAAATTTTTGGCGAAACTATGTGCACACCAATCAATCGATATTTTAGTTAAAACGGCCATCTATCTTAGTTTTTATATTTCCAGTTCTTTTAACAATAAGTTAATTTGAAACTATAAAAATTTTAAAAACATAATTTTTAGCTCTCTATTAACTAAACATCTGTATGTATTGTGTAAACGATATTTTATATGTAATCAAACAATTTTCGACAGTATTTCGAACAAACCATATTAGCTGTGGCGTACCTGCACCATACAATATTTCCACCAGAATAAATAAAAGTAATTAAAAATAAATAATTCCTTTGTAAAATGTTTGACAATACTTTAATGTTAATGAGTTTACTTCAAATAAACACCACTGATAAAAGCGTATGTTCACCATAATATAGAAGAACAAGCATTTTGCACATTTTTTTGTGATTAGAAATGAATTCTATCAAACCACTATGATAAAATCGAATAGAAGAACCGAAAGATTATGGTGAATGATATGGATAAAAGTTCTTGATATTTTGGAGTCTGTAGAAGAGTAGCTGCTCCGTTCGATTTCAAAATTTCATTCTTATTAAAGTTTGTTGCTTTTTCTACTTCCTGCCAATATGAAGCTAAACCTTTTTCCAGAAAGTTTATGCAGACAGAGTAAAAATAAATTTCCATCAATCAGGGTTTAAATAAGAGCACTGAAAGTTATTAAATATGTTTACATTTTCAAATAAACTCAAAATTGTCTAAAAGCAATTCACTTGAAGGATAAGGAAGTCGCATAGGAAATGAAAGACATGGTTACTTATCACTAGAAATATTAATTTATTGATAATACATTGTAATTACAAACTACAAAGCGTTTTGCTACTGAACAAAATCGAATATTGATTCAGAATTACATTAACTAGACCTAAACTGTATAATTACTAATACAAAATGAATCCTCATAATAAAAACTTAAGAAAATACTCCAGCCTACAAGTGTAGGATTACATGCAAAAATTAAACAGAAATGTTATTATTTTTATTTTTTCTGTTCAACTGCCTGTTGTTGTTTAGCAGGCTCCCCCGTTTGAGCAATAGGAATAGACTTGTGCTCCACCGCCTCTGTGCTGCTGGGAGGAGCCGTAATAGTCAAGACTCCATCCGAAGACAATTTGGATTCGACCCTACCAATGTCGTAGCTCTTTGGAACAACATATCTCCTTACAAAGTGTCTTGAGATATAGCCATGCTGGTCCTGTTTCTCTTCATGTTTACCCTCAATGGTTAATACATTTTCTCCCGTAACCTTAACGGTAATCTCCTCAGGCTTAAACTGCTGCACATCGAGATTGGCTTGAAATTTGTCTTTATCCATACTGATGGTCGATCCAGTGTCTTGGGCGGCGGCTTGAGAGTGCCAGTTTCTCAGGTATCCTGCTGGAGTCCTTGCCAGCAGCCGATTATTCAAAAGAAGTGGTTGGAATAGATCGTCATCAGCTAGCCCCAGACCGAATTGCTGGTTTAGTATCCTGGATGGTCGGATGTATGGATACAAAGGCTCATCGAATAAAAATGGCACTAGAGACATTTTGAATAAATTTTATAGGGTAGTCGCACTTTTAGAACTTTTAGCTCTTTTACGTCGCTTGAACGCTTCGCCTTCAGCTTTTCGTTAACACTGCACTGTTGCTCGAATGGCGAAGCCCCTTTTTATATCTAGCGGGGAACGTTCGTGTCGTTTATAGATTAATCTAGCATATACGTCACGAGGATGTTTGTTCACTTGGGCACGCTGCTTCAATTGATAAAATACACAAACAATTAATAATGGGATATGAAAAGAACTGTCTCGCTGATTCTAGAACGTGGAAAAGTATTTGCTGTGTCTGTGTATAAACACAAACCATCTTGTCAATATCATAATAATAAAAATATTATTTCCTAACGCCCATATTATGCTCAATTTTACAGGCTACAGTTTGAAGTAAATTGTGAGTTTTGAGGCCAGTTTTGCTCCTTGTTAGCGGCTCTAAACGATTTTAAACGTTTGAGAACGTAAACATATATTCGACTGGCATTCGCATCATATACTCTGGAAATATGGATATTTGCATGTTGTTACGTATTTTCTTATTTCAGTTCCAATTGACCGTTAAAATCTTCTACCTAATACCTACACATTATTTTGATATTTGTTTCAACATATCTCCTGTACACTAAAAAACCGAAGTATTCAATAAAATCATATGAAAATAATCAAATAAACATGCAAAAAAATCTGATATATTTTAGTGTCAAATTAAATAAAGATATACATATTTTATTTTCAGCAAAATATCCAATATAAACGTATCAAATGTGATCAGGAATGAGACTAGAAAGTAACCGGTTTGTAATTTTCAGAAATGTGCGACCAATAATAGCAATAAAATAGCAAACTTTATAATAGCATTTTTCTTAGGCTTTTTAACCGTTTTAAAAAGCATTGATCGCTACTAAATTAATTATTAAAACTGTAGAAATTTACACATTTGCATACTGTCTACTAATACGCATTCCTTTAATTGTCGTCCAATTGAGCATCGAAATCCATCAAAACATCAAGCACATGCCCGAAAATATGTTTGTTTAGCGTCGAAAATCATTTACATATTTGTAGGTAGGCTTTTTACAAGTAGATATTCAAGAAAATCACGTTAAAACAATGCCAAACGGGCAATTAAATGTGATAAGAAAATTAATGTCTGCGTAAACAAAGATATTTTTATTTTTAGAAATATATCTAGTTGTTTTGAACAAACTCTGTTGTTTTTGCATTGAAAAAATTCAATACATATTTTTCATAAGAAGCAAAAAATATATTTTTAACTGTTCATCACGTTAATTTATTATTAAATGCATTCTCTGTGTAATTGACTTTGAGTAGGTACTCATTTGTAACTTACAGTTAAAACGATTGATTTAAATTGATTAGTGCCTATTTTGTTCAATTTCTTCCCCATTCCAGATAGAATATTCTGGAAGTTCAAAAACAGTACATACAAACAAATATTGACTCTTCACACGTGTAGCAGACAGTTTATTGAAATTTCACTTCAATTAATCTATAAAATTCTAATTTTAGAATCGAGTGTTTCTAAACAGGTATTTATTTTCCAAATATATCATTTAGGCCTTGAACGCGAAAATGATAGTAATTTCACGAGGCGTTTAGAGATTATTCTAGATCCAGACAAAACATAGAGCGAGCTTTAGCATTCATATTTAATTATTGTAGTACCGTTTTGAAACCAAAACATCTTTATAAGAAAACAAACTCTTTGAAAAGTTGCAACTAGAATTTAAAACAAAATTTAAATAGCTGAAAACATTTTAAGTGAATTAAAAAAAAATAGTAGAATATATCTACATTTTGAAACAGTTTCTAATTAATTGTAATACGTATAATATGAATTAAATTATACAATACACTTTTGTAAATATACAAACATAAGAAAATAAAATAGTAAGTACGGTTCACCAACACAAAAATAGAAATTTCGAAAGTAAAAGACCCCAATATAAGCTCACTATCAAAAAACAAGTAACAACAGAACAACACTTATACATACAAAATATTCCCCAGTATGTATGAGTTGATTGTAGTTTGTACTTTATAAGCAAAACGCATGACTAACGTTTATAAAAACTTTCAAAAGACTTCCAGACAATTGACTATCAGGATTTACAGATTATATTGCAAATAATTTTTTATTCGCATTATAACATAAGACACTTAGTTTGGAATAAATGCTTTCTTTCTGATTAAAACATTGACATTTTTATTTGGTAGCACATTTAGGATGTTTACAAAGAAAATCCATATTCAACAAATTTGTTTCTTTTAGATCCAATCACATAGTCAAGAAAAATTCCGGAAAACGACGACTCAATAAACTAAAACCGTAAACACACTTTTATTCGTCGACGTTTCGACCCATTGCGTGATTATTCTAGATGCCATGCGCCTCAATATAAATACGGGCCCTGCTGAACAGCCACACAGATTTGAATACAGCGAGCCAAACAGCGAATTAAGCGACAAGCTAAGTATTTTCTGGTGTTCCGAGTGAATTTTATTGTCGAATAACAATGTTTCCATTGTGGTACGACGACTACTCCCGACCATCATCCAGAAACTGGATTTCTCTTTGGTCCCCTGAAGAGGAGTTTCATCCGCTTAGGACGGTGTTGAATGAACTAGCTCATTTGGAAAAAGACAATTCCATCACAATAGATAAAGACAAATTCCAAGCCAACGTTGATGTGCAACAGTTCAAACCGGAAGAAATTACTGTTAAACTGGAAGACGACAACACCATCATTGTGGAAGGTAAACATGAGGAGAAGCAGGATGAGCATGGGTTCATTTCGCGTCACTTCATAAGGCGCTACGTGCTCCCGGAAGGTTGCGATGCCCAAAAGTTGAAGTCAAAATTATCCAGCGACGGAGTTTTGCAAATTTCTGCCCCCAAAATGCCGGATACGAAGCAAATTCAGAGCAAGTCAATACCTATTTCTCTAACTGGTCCGGTAAGAAACGCTGAGCAGAAGCAAATCCAGAGTGAAGAGAAAAAGGCTTAATAGCTGTCTTAAACGTCCTTTGAAACCTTTTTTCGATGTTTGATTAAAATCTGCTTAGCAGAAATTATTTGTAAATCCATTTAGAGTAGGGTTTATTTGTGATATGCTAGTATCCAGATATTTATTTATAGGTATACCTACTTAAAATATCTAAGTTTGTTCAAGTTTTAAATAAAGTATTACTTAACACTTGTTTTTTGCGTGTTTTCCTTTTCTGTGAAAAAACTCTGTGAAGTTTATTACCCAATTCTTCATGTCGGTGCAAGGATGGACTTGTTTGGACGCAAAGGTTTTAAAGGCTAGCAAGCAATCTCTATTATACGGGGTGTCCCGTAAGCACATGACCAAAAGGATACTGCGATATTCTTTGCACCAAAAGAAGACGATCTGATCTAACTTTTATTGACAAACTGTCTGGCTCCTCTGCTATTTATGGTCAAAGTTCTTCAAAAAAATTATCTTTTTCGAAATGTCGGGAGAATTGTTTGAATGTTTTTGAATTTGTTCTTATGTAAGACTCATATTTCGATGAAACAATCGAGTTCATCCGCATTGGACAAGTGCAGAATTCTGGAGGGTCGCGATACAAAAAAAACTTTTTTTTGGTTGGTGAAATCAAACTAAGTTTTTTTGGTTGATGCACTAATGATTTGTTCACAATTTTGTGCTCTGTAAAATGCAGTAGCATTCATAGTTTTTGCGAAAACACAAATTCTGTTTTCTTGCCGCTTAACAATGTTAGATATTAACTGCAAATATCGTGATACGAGGCATAAAATAATTGTCAATCAATCTCACAAATTCGTTCTGAATGACCTTTTCTAATGAAGAAGTGACCGACAGGGCCAAAGTATTAGGGTTTTGCGAAGACAACTTGCGTGAAAGCGTACGCGTTTACGCGGCGCTTTTTGTCTGCTGTTAATGTCTAGCATTATTAAGTGTTTAGAAAACACACATATTTTTTTCTGTACAAAAAATTTTAATGCTACAAGATTTTACAAAAAGCACAAAATTGTGAAAAAATTATTAGTGCATCAACCAAAAAAAAATGAGTTGATTCCATCCAGCAAGTAAAAAGTTCTGGTAGTCTTTGTATAACGACACTCAAGAATTCACCACTTCGAAAAGGCCTCAACTCGATTGTTCCATCAATATGAGTCTTACATGAGAACACATGCACAGCTAGTATCACCAAAATAAATACATCGTACCATTCTCTCGATATTTTAAAAAAGATAAATTTTTTGAAAAACTTTGACCATCAATAGCAGAGGAGCCAGACATTTTTTGTTAATAAGAGTTAGGTCAGATCGTCTTCTTTTGATTCAAAGAATATTGCAGTACCCTTTTGATCATGTTCTTAAGGGACACCCTGTATTTGTAAGCTTAATAATATCGAGTACAATTTTTTTATGAAGCTTACAGTTTCACAATACTAGAATGAACAATTTAAAAAACACTTAAATTCTCTCACTAATTTGCCGATAAGTTTAATAAAAAATCTATTTCAAAAGGACTTTAAAACTAGCAAACAGAGGTACTAAAAACGCTCAAAACCTTTAACGATAAGAATCTCTTTAAAAGGTATCTTTGAGGCAAAGAAAGTTTCAAGGTAAGTATGCCTGCGAGTTCTGAATGCAGTCCTGAACTGCACACTTTAAGTGAAAAGTTGATTTGAACCCTTTTTGAAAAAGTCACAACAGCTTTTGAGTTAGTTGAAATTTCTAATAGATGTTATATGTGTGCATGACCAATTTGACCTACTTTTTCAATAAACTTCACTATTTTCTTTTGGGATATTTTGAGGAACCAACGCATTGACCTCGTCCGTTTCAATGTTTTTACTTTTTGGAAGACAAAGGACTTATTTTAGTACTTAGAATATTCCTTCAAACTCTCGAAAGGTAAAGTAAAAAGTTCATTCAAAAAGTCGGTCGACTTGGTCATGCACTTGTATTGGGAATGTAAAATTATTGGCAAACTATTGACTTTAATTTCTTAATTAAAATTAAATATGTTACTGTTGTGTTTAGAAAGAGATTTTTACAGTAAACCTTTCTAAATTTGGACTTGTGACTGTGGAAATGAACTAGATGTTACCGTATATAAAACATTCAAATTTGTGTCGATTTTTTCCTTAATAAAAAGTGTTAAGGGAGCGACCGACCGTCTTAAAAATTCTCTTCTACATATATTTTCACCTTGGCTTGAAACACCCTGTATATTTCATGTATTTTGTACATTCGGAATATTTGATGTAATCAAGAATTCCCTACACGCAAGTAAAAACGCAAAAATGAGTATGAATAACTAAAGTAACTTAATTCTAAGTCACTAACTTTCAATGTAAACTCTGGAATCTGGAACATTTTGAGCAAGGTTTCTTCTACGTTTTTGGTTACTCAAAGGACGGAAATATGTACTGATTACTGTACTGTACATATTAAACTGCGTTAAAAAGTACCGAAGGCCTGTTGGGGCCCGTTAATGTTCAATAATATTTGTAATATAATATAATATAGTCAATTACACAACACAAGCACTAACTAATTCGCGTACCCGACACTTCTTAAACTCTCTATGTTTGATTGCTGAATGATTTTGCTCATTTTAACCATGTAAAAAGTAGAATTCCAAGAGACGAATTTGAAAAAACTAAAACGTTGAAGCATCTGTCATTCCTATGATGTAATTGACAAAGAATATATGCAGCAACAAACTGGAAACCGGACTTTGATGGTGGCGGTATCTATTATAATTTAATTAACTAGAATTAGTTGAGTGGAAAAATGACATTATTGTTGTAAATGAAAAGTTTTTTTGTTGTGTTTTCTTTCTGAGCAAGTAAATAACACTTTAATAGATGTGAACAAAAAATATACATAGTAATTAATAATAATAATAACAATGACACCAAATATTCTTCAATGCCCTTTTTAACATACAAATTTATTTATCGCTCTTATAGAGAGGCGGCCCGCGCAGCATAAAAAATGTAAACTGACAAATAAATGCATTCTAGATTATATAAATATATTCTAAATTTATTAACTGCGTCTAAAAGTTAGAATTTATTGGAAAATTGACAGGTCGCAACTCAAAGAGTGGCAGTTACAGTTTTCACCTGACTTTTATTATAAATGTTGCTGGAATGTGTTAATAAATTGTGTATTAAGGTAAAAATAGACAATATTCCAACTTCTCAGGTTGGTAAGTATCTTACAAATAGAAAGATTGGATTGGAATTGTTCATATTATAGCTGAATATTGTTTTTCGTATACCTATGTAGGTACTCGAATATCACAGCAAAACTGCTCTACTTCGGAACGTTTTTAATCCTAAAATGTAAAAATCTAGTAACTTTAAGAACGATTGCGCTCAAAGAAGGCAAAAATGAGATTCTGCATAAACCATTCTAGCAAAATAGTCTAGTTAGCTTCTTATAAAGTTTTTATTTTATCCGCATATTAATATTGATTTCGCATACATATTAACTGAAACATCATACAAACTTGAACTCCATATATTGATCTCGAAAAATGCTAAGCAGCACATTTTGTCATGGTGTGTATTATGTTTTTGAGTAAAAAACGCTACATTAAAATTTATCAAAAAAAAAATTGAGTTATCTTTGTCCTCCTGTCTATGTGCATGATTCAACCGCAGTTGATTTCAATAATAAAGTGAACATTCAAAAAACAGAATTAGACAATAAACACATGCATGAAATATTTGCTAAAAGGATATCATGAACTGCACTTTTTTAATTAACTCTAATATACTTAGTAACAAAAATGTTTAAAAAAAATTGTCGAAAACATTAGGTTTTCATTAGTCACGATTAGTCGGTCAATTCAAATACTATTATTCATTTCATGGACGGCTGGCCGCTTCTCGAATAAACTCCTACGTTCAAACACCCGCTAACCGATAAATCGCGAATTATCTGGCAAGTCCTGTTCAAATATAAATAAGCAGTTCCACACCATTCATAATCATTCGCCAAACGATTCTACATTAAAGCAATACTTGAACTGAAAGTGAGTTTCTAATCGTGTGATTCATATTTACAAACGTATTTACGGTGTGCAATAATCTGAATTTAAAAAAAATGGAAGTCTTCCTACCGCTAATCTTTGAGAGATCAATGTGCCCATTTGCCAGAACATCTCGACTTCTGGACCAACATTTTGGTAGTGGTTTGGACCCAGAGGATTTCCAACAACCTGTGAACCCGAACCGGCGTGAAATCACAAAAACTCCTGCTGGTTATCTGAGGCGATGGAGATCAAGGGATTCTTCTAACGACAGTGGATCTACCTTGGTGGCCGATAAGGATAAGTTCCAGGCTAGTTTGGATGTTCAGCAATTTTCACCAGAAGAACTGACCATCAAAATAACTGGCGAGAATGTTCTGACCGTTGAAGGCAAACATGAAGAAAAAGAAGACCAGCACGGTTCTATTCAGAGGCATTTTGTCCGAAGATACGTTTTACCCAGTAGCTACGATATTTCTAAGATAGAGTCGAAGATGTCCAGCGATGGAGTTTTAATCATTACAGCTCCTTCAATAGCAGCGAAGCAAGTTGAGCATAAAACCATTCCAATTACTCAGACTGAAAAACCAGCCCGTGCTCCAGCAGAAGAAACGAAAAATTAACATCTATTATTATTTTGTACTCTCATGATTTTGTATTAATTTAAGTATATTACTGTTAAGTCTAGTTATTAATAATTTTAATCGTTGCTATTTTTTTATTTAATAAATTACTTGACTTAAAGTATTGAGTTTCCGCTGTAGGTTAAGCATCAACATTGCCCTTTTATATCAATTAAAATTGACCGATTTTTTTTGCTTTTTCCGACAGAATATATTACAAGAGCAGAAAGCTTTCGTAATAAAAAGTGAAGTTTCCATCATTTCTGTTATTTTGTTTATTTGCATATTTTCTAAATAATTTAAACTTGTTCGAGTTTCCATTATTATACATTGATCAAACCACTATGAAGAAAAAAAAACAATTGTGTAGACAATTTGTTAATTACAATATTTTAAGTGCATGCTTCTAAATTTCTTTTAAACCCCAATTAATATTTCAAATGCTCGGAAAATTGAGAAAAGAAATTTGTCACACTGTAATTCTATAAGAATCTTTTGCAAAAGTAAAGTATTTGTTAGTATAATGTAAGAAACAGTCAGTAATTTTTTGATTAAGTAATGCTATAAAATCCGAAATCTGTATAGTTGAAGTACTTGGATATTAAATAAATTATTAATTTAATATTTATTTATATTAACTATTATTGTGCCTTCAGTCTTCAGACTTATTTATATATTATATATTTCCAGATTGGTCTTCATTTGATTCATTCTATGGGAGACATTTGAATGTCTCGTTTAATTTAACGTTTTCTTCGTAATTTACCATCAATTTCTCAAATTATAAAAGTGAAATAAATATGGTTGAGATCGTTCACTTTTCGTTTAGTTTCGCTCAGTTTTCGGTCGAAAAATTAATAAATATTATGTGTCGATTAGAAACTGTATGTTATTATATTTTTTTTATGTTTATGATTACATTGAGCACATTTTTTGTTTTTATTTTCAGAACACTTTGTTCATACAAGACTTCAAAATTGAGTTCAAATTTTCAAGTAAAACATTTTAAATTACAACCGACTATATGTATTTCTCAATGCGAGTAAATATAAGCTATTTACAGACAAATACAAATTAAAAGAGGATCATATAGAATTTAATATAAAAAAGAAAAACTCACATTAGCTGGGAAAAATGGCTTTTACTGATAACTACAGATTACTTTTAATTATTTAGCTTAGTGTTTTATTTTTCAAAATTAATTTACAAATACCGATTTTACATTTTCGTCTTTTTGTTATGCAGGTCTTTGGGAATATCTTATTTATTTCACACCGTGATTAATTTTACGATTAAATATTTCATCATAAAATAATGAAATATTGCGAAATTTTCTACTTGGATGATGTGGCTAATTAGAATAAGTCAGTCAAATGCGATTGATTACAAACCTGGAATTCTAGAATCAAAATATGTACTCGAAAATACTACACGCTACACGTAGGGAATCTCCGACTTATCTAGACCGTTCGAGATGCAGTTGGCTAAAATACTAGTAATATTGGACAAAAATATCTCTGTCATATAAGGGGAACTTTGCTAACTGTTGATCGTTGGTATCCTGTTTTCACTGCATTAATTATCATATTTTTAGTTTAGCCTGTGTTTTTTTGCAATTCTCATGTGCTTTATTTAAAACATATACACAATATGTATGACATGTTTGTCTGGCTCGGACATGCATACGCTCAGGGTTTAAAAACCAAATTTATTTTATTTAAATAAAACCTTACAGTTCTTTATAATACAATAAAATAAATACAGTATTTTGCAACGAATGAGCACTATTAAAGTTCAAATTATCCAAAGTATATATGTTTCAATAACTTTTTTCTGTGCCGACTGTGTCTTTTAAATTGTATTTTCAATCGTGATTTTGTAAAATGTTGCTTTTTTTCTAAATGATAACGTTGACTTAAGGTTTTAAATGTTCGATATTTAAACACCGACACTTTCAGACAAACTTTCCGAGTTATTTTAAAGGGAACAGCCAGTTTCTAAGAGTGTAAGCAAGTAGATCTTCAAGTTATTAATATAATAAATAAACGTTAATACTAATGACAAATTAAGTTTCTAAACATTTTTGGAATATTCAAAAAACAAAATGTCAAACGATCAAAGAAGTCCATTATATTTAATTTTTAAGGTTTTCAAAAATGAACAAACAATTTTTTTGTCAAAAGAAAACAAACTGTTTTTAGTTTTAAGCTTGTTAAAACTGAACATTTGAGCTAAACAACAAAAATATGTGCAAACATTTTTGGAGAGGAACGTAATGTTATCGGTAATTTAATTGATTAATTTGAAAGTTTTTTTAAAAACAATTTATTTACAAATTAATACAAACAACAGATTTTAGTTGTAACCGAACCTTAACTATGACTCGTAGACGGTAAATCATAAGAATGAATATCTATAGACTGAAGACTATCTGAGACTGACTTCTTATGACTTCTGACCAAACATCTAATGGATGAAAGCGCGTTTCTGCTGTGACTTTTATTATATTTGAATCATGTTTAGAGCAACTAAAGAATAAAAACGTAAAAAATACGTAAAACATTTTTGGTAATTATATGCAGGATTTGTGAATAAGTTCTCTAAACTAACCATTCGCATTTTCTGGAAATAATTGCAATATTTAATAGAATATACAGTTAAAAAACTATTATTTCCTGAGGAAAAATTGCTTATAAATGAAGTAGGTCTTACAAAAAATACGTGAATTGTACCACTGTGTGCGCAACGAGGAACACTGTGATCCGTTCGATACTTACCTAGCATAATGGAGAATGTTCGCGACGCACAACGCCTGGTATATAAGCACTTCCAGCACTGTGTTGTCGTCAGATTTAAGCGAAAAGTTCGTGGAGTTAAATCTAGTCTGCTCCTAAAGTAAAAGTGATTTGTAGTGAAATCTACTACTATTCAGATCCAGTAAATTGCAAAGTTGAAAAAATGTCTCTTCTATCAGTGCTTTTGGATGATCAACCTAGAGTCTCGCGACGAGACTTGGTATCGCAGTTTCTTCCTGAAGAAACTCTCCATGCCCTCAATTCGGTGCTCAACCATCTGCCCCAACTGGAAAAAGACACCTCTATCACTGTGGACCAAGATCATTTCCAGGCGAAAATCGATGTCCAGCAGTTCAAGCCAGAGGAAATTTCCGTGAAACTGAACAACGATAACACGATCACTGTGGAGGGCAAGCACGAAGAGAAGCAGGACGAGCATGGATTCGTCTCCAGACACTTTGTTCGGCGATACAAGCTGCCGGAAGATTGCGATTTCAAGAAGTTGAAATCAGCTTTATCCAGTGATGGAGTTCTGAGCATCTCAGCACCGAAGAAGCCTGAGCAAAAGCAGGTCGAATACAAGCATATTCCCATCATTAGAACCGGACCAATCAGGAAAGGGGAAAATGATGCTAGTTTAAATAAAGCCTAAATTATCTCATCCATTCTGATTAGATGATTTGCATTTCTATTTCTGTAAGATTTTTTACATTTGTTTGCATTGCATTTTGTATTACATGTTTGTAACTGGTGAGTATTTAAGGTTTTCAGCCCTACGGAAAATGGCCCCCATTTTACGAAGGCCAAAAAACCGTTTAACACTCATCAGTTTCAAGGAATTGCCTCGAAAACATCTATATGTAAAATTAGTTCTGCTTTAAGACTGATTGATTCTAGCGTTTTTTAGGTTGTAGTTCATGTTTATTGAATAAACTGAGTAGGTATTATAAACTATGTCTTATTTACTTAATTTACCCTTTAAGTAAGTTCATTTTGTTATCTCGAGCGAGTTCATGAAAATCGCAACAAAGAAAATTTTAATATTTTTAAATACTGTATGTTTTATGTCGTGCCACGAACAATATCGATGAGGAATGTGAAAAGTTTACTTTTTGAAATACAAAAACGGTTAAAAAAGAGTTTATTTTCGGAGTGTGTGGATTCTTTATCTGATTTTATGTATAAATATTTTGTACTTGTATGTATTGAGCTGAAACAAAAGTCTGGGGATGCAAATAAAAAAACATACAAATTAATCAAGTAAATCTTTAATAAGTTTACAGAAAATCGAATATTAAAAAGGTTTTAGGCTGCAATATAGTAATTGACATACAATTAAAATAATTAGTAATTTAATACCAGAAAATTCTCATTATTGTGCTTCTTTTCCAAATACTATCTACATGTAAAATTTCGATCAAGTTTGCACGAAATATTCACCGTTTGGCATTTGCGATATTTGCAATCGTAAAAAGAACGACATATTTCATATTCCTTTAAATATTTTATTTTCCAAGTGCTACCATTCCTAGAATCCTAAGATATTTTAAAATAGTAAAAAAAACCGACAATTTTTCTGCAAATTCCTGCCAATATTTTGCCGGTGTTTGGAATTATACTGTATTCAGTTTGAGGAACTCAATTTCCTTTTTCTATCACCGTAATGGCTGGGCCACAGATGAGGCCTACTAATAAATGGCCTAACGTGTGAAATCGGAATCTCCTGGCCCTCAATAGCATCATCCTCCTGCTTTTTCGGAGCTGTTATGACCAAAATTCCATCAGCCGAAAGCTTGGATTTTAGTTTCGTTGGATCGCAGTCTTTTGGGAGAAGATAGCGACGTACAAAATGTCTGCAAAATTCAATTCAATACCTAAAATTACCTCAATTCATTCGCTTTACTTTGGCTTACCTCGAAATAAACCCGTGATCGTCCTGCTGTTCTTCATGTTTGGCCTCAACTTTAACACTATGATCATCAAGCAGTCTTACTGATATCTCATCAGGTCGAAACTGCTGCACATCAATATTTGCTTGAAAATGTTCTTTGTCGATTGTTAAGGAAGAGCTTCTGTCCAGATGGGTTAGTTGAGTTCTCAAATCTCTTAACTGATTAGCAGCACTAAAACAACAATGATCAGCATAAACATCTAAATAAAATTGTTTTTGTAAAATGTTTAAAAAAGCGACAAATAAATACCCGCTTTGGAGGATCGTAGGCCATTCATGAAGATCATCCGGAAGACTCCAGCGCGATCCTCCATGGCGTCCTAGTAAATCGACACCAGACCATAGGGGTAGAAGAGCCATTTTTCCAGTTCTTAACTTTATAAACAGTTAATTACTAGTAACAAAAATGTAGGATCAATTTTCAATTTTTCGTTTACAGCTCGGAATGTTTTATATTGTTTTCACGCTGATATTTCATGCTAATAGAGCAGAAGATGTACAAGTAAACTGTTTGCGAAATATGGGGCACCACCCTAGTGGAGTGCGCCAGCGTAATTTCATTGACTGGAAACGATAGGAAAACGTATTTTTCATTCATGTATATTACCTTATTTATAAACGAGTGAAAGTGCAAAATCTGCTATAAGTACAAATAAAATACATATAATACTCACATGGAAAGCATCGAAAAAAATAACATTTTGCAAAATACGTTTGCAACAAAAAACAAATCAATAGAAAATTGGTGGTACCAAGGTGGTTTCCTGTTTTAATTCCATGTTTTCTTCTAGAATATTTGTTCACGTTATTCTTCTTTTCAATAATATTGCTTTAGTTTAAATGACTCTAGAACACTCCTTTTCTATGTAAGATCAATCAAAGACATATATGTATCTATCTTTTCCTATAGGCTGGAATCTAAAGTTTTAACCTTTCCTATGGTTTCTTACTGACTAGTTATTTATTTATTAGGAAATACAAGATTAAGAGGAAACGAATGTTTGAATGGTGTAACAAACCGCTTAATAATGAATTTGATTCAGTATTAATTTCTGATTTTAATTCAGAATAAATTTGCATTTGTATATTCGTTGGCTAAGTTTCCTTGATATCAGAAGACAATAACATAAAACAGTCGATCTGCTACAATTTTAAAAAACACCTAAAATACGAAGACGATAATTAATATTTATTTACAATTTTTATGCTCGACTATGAAAATATTTAATATTAATAGAAATTGAAACAAAAATTTGTTTTATTTTTAGTTTCTTTTCCCATAATTATTTATTTTTGGTCTAGTCTGGCTTTGTTGAAATAATGATAATAAAATGAGTTTTTGTTTTTGTCCAATTTTCTCTAAAATATTTCTCAGCCTAGAAGATATTCACGAATTCTTTCACGATATTATTTAAAAGGAAATTTATTTTTTCTTTAAAATTTTTTATTTAATATACTGTACTGTATTTTTAAAACGAATGACTTCTAAAAATAAAATAATTACAAATATTTTATTTCACATAAATACCAATGTATAAACTTTTGCGCACGTTATTTAAACAAAATAAGTTATAACTCTTTAAAATGTTTAAAGCAATTGGGTAAAAGCCAGTAGCGCGCTATTTATTTGCCTTAAAAAATATACTTATCTAAAGAAATAAGTAAAAACTAGGAAAATCAAGAAGCTAGCGAAACCTATAATTTGGGTAAATCTTGTCATAAACTAATCGATTAATTTTTATCATAATAATCTATCATCGCGCAATCAGTAAAAAACTGATGGTGTATTTAAACTATTTTTGTTGTAAAATATGTGATTTCAATTTTTTTATTTCTTGATTGATTTCAATAAATTATCTTGGTCGATACACAAAATAACGCTTTTTGATCGATGGTACATAAAATAACGCTTTAACTGTATTTTAGTACAAAATGTTTTGACTACAGTTAGTTCCCACTAGACTACTGTGTATAGAAGATCCTTATTTCCTGTTTAAAAAGATATTGCAAACACGAGAAAATAAATCTAAATTCTTTTTTGCAGAAGAAGGCTGTTGAGAGACTCAACGACTGCAAAACGCAGACGGTCAAGGTTAGTCGAAGGGCAGATGCATTGTTGCTGGGTAAGCCTGCATGTAAATTCATACGTTTTACTACGTATAATATGAAATATAGAATGAAACACCTGACTTAAATGATAATAAATTAAATAAAATCATTTCGAGAAGAACAAGTGTACGTTATACGAAATACAATGTGGATGATTGGGAAATGCGAATGTATGAATAATTTTCAAATATTTCGTAAAAATCCATTTCAAACGGGTGTACTTATTTTAAATAATGATCGAAAAAATTGCATTACGATTAATTTAAAAACGAATAACTCCACAACTACCTACGTGAGGAAAATACGAAAATACTAAATCCGTTATTATTTCTATAGCAAGCTGGTAGAGTACAATGCGTGTCCTACTCGGGGATGTCGATTTCATCCCCTCGTAAACGGTCGAACGAAAAAGAAACGTTAGAGAACTAAATCGATAATTCGCGAATATTCGCCTTCTGGAGCATGCGAGAATTCTGGTGGAAAAAGCTGGAACAACGTTTGGCGCGCTCTCCAAAATATATCGAACAACTGTTCATCAAGTGTTGACGTTAGCCAGTCGTACCTTTAATTTTCCTCTTCAATTTTGTTAAATAATTTTGAAACGTTCGAAGTGTCCGATTTCATATTGAAAGTTTTGAAAATATCAGAAATTTTATTTTATGCAAGTTTTAGTACGTTCCTTCTATCATTATCAAAATAAAACTGGGTTTTATTAAAAAATCAGAGATTAAGCAAGTTCAAATTTCCGATTATTGTAATCATTTTTTGTCAAAATTAGTCGACCCACAGGAAATGGAAAAACTTTTGTAAAATCAAGCTCTTGTCCAGTATTAATTATATTTTTGATGGACACAGTTCTCCAATATCTAAGTATGAAATAGTAGTATCACTTTTTTATAACTTCTTGTACCTATGCATTTTTTCTGTGGAATAAAAGATCTGAAGGAAACCATGAAAATTGAACATTGTTTAGGCTTGAAGCCACCAAAGCCGACATTGACATTACAATTTAGTTATATTAAGTAAGTTTTCATTGAAAATTTTATTGCATAATTTTGGCAGTTTGGGGCAATCTTTCTTTAAAAATGCTGAATTTAGCTTAAAAAATTTGTGCTGTGAGCAATGCAAAACGGGTCCTGTTTTGTTAGATTTCAAGTCAAACATAACTATGAAAAATAATCGCCACAAAATTTAGCGTTTTAGTTTGCGATAAAAAAAATGTAGGAACCAAAGAAGGCATTTCGCTCCATAGGAAAATTACGTGGTTTTAATTTTATGTCTTGATAGTTAATAATTGTATCGATACTTACAGCTTATTACTTAAACACTTAATAACTTAACTAACTGCAAATTACAAAAACAACAGCATTGGGCAGTCCCATTTTTATTGGGAAATGCAGGGTCTTTTGAACAGTATTTTCAGAAGTTTGTATGTGTTTTTTCGGCAATTTATGGACAATTCGCATTGTTTCACTGAAACTACTTTGTTTCAAGAAGACTCTAAGAAAAAGAAAATTTAAGTGCGAAAAATGGCCAGACATAAAGCACGTGAACAATTGAGCACATAATTCCAATATTCTTATAGCAATTTGAATTTTTTTCAACAAAATTTATATTATTGGACGATAACAATCTCAGCATTTGATGAACAGTTCGTACGTGTCGGCCAATGTAGATTCCTGCTTGTTCTCGACCTGCCCCACTAGAACGTTGTTGAATTTTCCAGGCGTTTCGTTGGTGATATATAAACCGATGCGCCGGTTGCTACGGACATTATTTGATTCCAAACGCTAGTCGAGTCAAGTTCGCAAACGTTCAGCTACGTTTAACCAAGTTCTACATTCAAGTGAGAAAAAGCAGTGATAAAAGCAAAATGTCTCTCTTGCCATTCTTGTTCGGTGATTACGAGTATCCGGTTTGCCGACCATCGAGAATTCTGGACCAGCATTTCGGTCTGGGATTGGGCCATGACGATCTTTTCCAGCCCTTAAACCTGAACAACCGAGTGCTTACCAGAACCCCAGCTGGTTATCTGAGAAACTGGCGTTCCGGCGCTGGCAGCCAGGACAGCGGCTCAACTGTAAGTCTGGACAAGGACAAGTTCCAGGCAAACTTGGACGTGCAACAGTTCAAACCGGAAGAAATCAGCGTTAAAGTCACCGGTGAAAATGTCCTGACCATCGAGGGCAAGCATGAAGAGAAAGAAGACCAGCATGGATACATTTCCAGGCACTTTGTGCGAAGGTACGTGTTGCCGAAGAATTGCGACGTTAGCAAAGTGGAGTCCAAGCTGTCTTCCGATGGGGTGTTGACTGTCACAGCCCCAACTATTGAGAAGATGGAGGTTGAGCACAAGAGCATTCCGATCACCCAAACTGGAGAGCCGGCCAAGCAGCAACAGGCTGTCGAACAGAAGTAAACCATTCGGGTGTACTTTTCCCATACATTTATCACATTTCGTGTTATTTACAAAAGTATTCGTTCAAATGTTCCAAATACCAGCTTAAATGATACATGTTTCTTGTAGGCATTTAGTTTTGTGATTTTGTATCAGACTAGGTATAGTTGTTCCTTAAGTTTTGTATTACTTCTTTTGGAGATGGTGCACTTTATATCTGGCGGATTTCGGCATTCTTTTTCATATATATATAAATAATCTTTATTTCCTACAGAAAAAGGCTATCGACCCAATCGGTCTTTCTGCCCCATTCTTTTTCATTTTCCCTTAAAGTGCATTTAAAATAAAGCACATTCAGCAAAAAAAAATGAAGAGAACTGCTTAGTCCGCCAGATGCCTATGTAGTGCACATTCGCCACTTTTTTTTATTAATAAACATATTAAACCTTTAAAAAGTGTTGCGTTTTTTCAAAAATGCACGATCTTAGCAGAGGACGTGGTCTGCATACATGCTGAAATACAGGGTGTTTATAAATATACTAACAAACTTTGAGCATACTTCAAACAAAAGCATTTCTGCAGATACAGAGTGAAATTGGGAAAATATATTTATATGGGTTTAATGAAATTTAAACTAGGCCTGGGTAACATTGTGTTAAACTGAGTTGCGCTATTGAGTTAACGAGTTATAATTCATTTATTAAAGATTTACGCGACTGGAATTTTCACATCTAAAAAAGGGTTATTAACCTTTTTTCGTAACTAACGTGAGCAACCTTTTACTACTTTGTTCAAACAACTTTAAAAAAAGTACCTAATCTAGATTTTCCCAGCAACAGTACTTAGTCCAAAGAAAATCGACGAGTTTTCTTGTAAAATCGATTCAGTTAGCAAGTTTTTTACAGTAAAACGTTAGGAAAAACGCGGTTTTCTGTTTAGAGACAGTGTTGTTTAGAAATATTGACCTAAAAGTGAAGGAACTTCAGTTTCCAAGGGTTTTCGAAATAACTGATTATAAACTTCGCTTTTTCAGCTCGGGGAAATATTTTTGCAAAAGGCCTAGAAATAATTATTAGGGTTTTGTCCATAATTCGAAGCTACAAAAAGTTTTCCAAACATTTTTGCAAAGCGGTTAAGGAGGCGAGTGTTTCAATAAAACGTATCTTATAATTTTTCTGTGAAAATACATGAAGATTGCCAGTATTTTAAGTAAAACTAAAAAATAATGCGATTTTTGCTTAGAAAGAATTGCATTATAGAAACTTTTCTAAAACTGGAATGACTTGAAAATGTAAAGGAACTTCCTGAATCCTCAGAGCGATGAGGGGGGCGAATTTTCCCAATAATTATTTGTAAACTTTTGCTCTCTGGTCGTTTTTTCAAGATAGTCCTAATTAGTTTCGGTAAAAATGAATACAATTATTTAGTTTTTGTGCCAAATTCGAAGCTGAAATGGGGTTTCTAAAGTTTCCTGCAAATCGATGAATGAGGCAAATTTTCTAGCAAAATTAATTTTGTAATTTTTGGCTAAAAACGCCCCATTATTGTCAAAAAAGAAGAGAAACATCAGAAAATAATGCTTTTTTGCCTTTTCGATTAAAAACTTTTAGTTTTGTTATTGGAGTTGGAGAAAACCTTAATGGTTTTCGAGAAAAAACGGTAGGAATTTAGTTTCGTTTTTGTCCCGAATTCATTTCGACACTGAAATAAGTTTGTGTAAAATTTTTACAAGGCTATAAATTTATCTTGTAATTTTTCGCGTAAAAGTTCTCCAGTTCGTCAGTATTTTTATGTGAAACTACAAAATAGAGCGTTTTTGAGCAGAAAGTAAAGCAAAAAAATTAGTCAAAACTAAAAACCATTTTTTTTAACAAATTGTACAGTCTTCAAAGGAATGGAGGTGTTTTTTAATAGAAAATTGTTTGATTTTTGTTCCATATTCGATGCATTTCAAAACATTTTACAAAGCGACGAGGGATTCGAAATGTATTCGGATTTTATCGGAAAATACCTTAAGATTGTCAGCATTTTTAAGTGAAACTTTATAAAATTGACCATTTACAAGAAAGAGACTTAGCTAAAATTGGAAAATTCTGAAATTTGAATACATTCGCTCAGCACTGTGCCAACTCCTAAAAATTCACTGAGTTGCTCAGGCCTAATTTAAACAGTTGCTGTTAATTTAAACCGGAGTGGGCATCTTTTGGATAAATTGGTACAGTCTTTCAGAGGCCGCGCTCACGGGCCAACACTCAAATTTTGTTTCTTTTTTTCAGTAAAACAATAAATAAAACAACAAACTGTAAAAAGTTTATTAATCGTCTGGAGCGTATTTTACATACTAATAAAAAAAATTATACTGAATTTTATTTAATTGAGATTTGGAGTTTCACATAAAGGAACATTTCCCAACATTGTTTTTAGCAAAATAACTTTCTTCCTTAAAGTGTAACGAACTAAAATTATAACAATTTACAGAGTATTAGTCATTATTATATTTACGTGTTTTTTTGAACGGTCAAAACAAGTAATCTAGAAAACATTTCAAATTAACATGGAAAAAGTAGGTCCCTACTAGAATGTATCGATTTAGGAACGATTTCCATTTGAGTTTTTGACTGTATTTTGTTCCAACAACAATTTAATTCTTTAACAACAAAAAGACCGTATAATAATCAGTAGCAATAACTGAAGAAAACTTGAGATTCCAAATTTTTATTAATAGACCACTTCTTCCTAGTTTTTAAACTGTTTCCTTCATTGTTGACTTTTTAGGAAAAGTCCAGAAGAATTAAATTCRAACTTTCTGCGGCAAACCCCATTTAGCTCCCTGATTAATTTAAAATCTTCCACGAAAAATAAAGAAATTTGTTCAGATTAAAAGGGAACTCGATTGGATCAATACATATACATATAAAAATAAGATTTCACATAAAAGTTTATTTTGTATTCACACTAAAATGTCTTTCGCTTGAGCATCTGGCGTAGCAACCGTGGCCTTTTCAGTGAAAATTATTGTACTTTTATGAATATATTGGTTTCGGAGTTGATTATTATGTTAAAATTGAGCAATAGGTAGGTGAAACCATTTTTTGCACTAAGTCTTTCTTTTYCAACACTGACCCTGATGTTTTTCACAAGAAGGTGAAACCCGATTTATATATATATAAATAATCTTTATTTCCTACAGAAAAAGGCTATCGACCCAATCGGTCTTTCTGCCCCCCGATTTAATTTTCACTCAACTTAGATAAATTCGGGCAACCAAACAAGGCATTTTTTTAAGAATGAATTTTCCCCCGTTTTTCAAATGGTCAACACCAGCTGATAATTTTCTAAATCTGTACGGCTCGCATGTTCACACTTTCAGCAGTCACTATCTTTGTAACCTTTTTTAAAAAACATCTACGTCGGATTGAAACTTTCCTTGGAAAATATTGTTAGCTTGTCCTTCACATTTATTAAAATTTGCTGTTTTATATCATAAACACCTCTAAACTAATAACGTTTTCAGATACTTCCGACATAAAACACTTTTCTTTCTCACATTGGAATTGAATTTATTTAGCAGCTTTGGTAACACTAGTTTTCTCAATTCTCATTCCCAGACATGTTCGTTCATTTCAACTACTCTAATTATGATTGGAGGAAAAATAAATATTTTTGCAATCCATTTATTGTACAAAAAATAAAATTGAAACAGAAAACTTATAACAAAACTTGACAATTGGAAATGGAAAAAACGCTATATAAACATTGTAAAAAAACAAGTTTGGAAAAATACAGCTTAGGTTTAGCTGCGCTAAGAGTTTCAAATAATGATCCGTTAAATAAATAATACTTTTAAAAACGGGAATAATGAACAATGCGTTCACTTAAAGCTATCCAAATATTGTGCGCACTAATTTAAATAAACACAATACAACCCAATTCGTAAAGTTGCCATTAGAAATCAATTTGAATTGAACAAACGCATAAAATATGTTCATTACTCTACAGTCTAAAGGAACTATTCAACAAAACTTGTCTTTTGTAGTAGATCTTTTGGAGCACATCAATGTTACAATTTGAGATTCATGTCAACTAAAATCTATTAAATGCCTGGCTTAGGAACGACACAATTATCTGAATATAGTATACATAGAACACCTGTTAGTTTGGCTAGAATTGGGCTACTGGCTACAACATTGATATTTTTATTGAATTATTCACTCTTATAGACTTATTTGGCACCGGTAGACTGATATTGCCATATTTTTCAGCAGGGAGATTCATGGAGTAACTTCTAAAGAGAGCTTTGTAGAAATAAATTTTATGTAGAAACTAACTAATGGAATGCCAAAGATTAATACTAATTTTACGTGTTTTTTTAATTCAGTATGAAACTAAATTCTTATTAGCTGCTGCTAGACTAAATGCTTTATAAATTAAATTTTTAATTTTGACCGTTTTTGCAAAATTACAAGTTTCGAAATTTTTTGCAATAGTCATAGAGAAGGTGGATTTCACTATACCATAAAAGTTTACAAATAACTCGTAGATAATCATGTGCTTTTCATATCAACAAAACATAAATATATATTCTTATGTATCAACAATATCAATGAATTTACAATGGTAGAGCGATGTTCTATACCTATCATAAAACATTTAACAATCGGATAATTTTACATTTGCGAAGACTAATCCAATTTTCTTCTCTTGTTATTGGCCCTTGCAATTTTTTCTGGGTCTGTTTTCCTACACAATAAAACATGCTCATTATATTACACAAAAGGTAGGTCACAGCAATTGAAGACTTGGAAGGTGGTAGGACTGGAGCACCCTATCTTAAGTTAGCAAATGTAGAATTTTAGAGGCTTCGTATATGTTTCGCCCGTTTTACAAGTAAACAGCTCGAAGATAGTCCGGATGAGAGCTTTGATAATTGAGAAAAGTTTGTTGAACGTCTTGGATACTCAATTTTCTCGCCAAATATCTGAAATCAAATTAGCAATGTTAAATAAATTTTTGTGTAGGAAATGCAATTTTTAATTTAGTTCAGAAGTACTCGGGAGCTTCGATTTTCAGATATTTTTCCTTCAAAGCAAGACATTTAAACACTATTTGAATAGAAAAGAGACCTAATAAGACATATTTTCAACTAAAGGAACTAATTAACACATTTAAGTAACAAAAAACTATCTGCTACTGATAAAAATTATATAAACCAGCGGCGGTGTTAAAAGTTTTACGATATTATGATGCGAGTCGTTTGATGTCTGGATCGCAACGTTCCTTCATATAATGTAATTAAAAAAACTAAAAAAATGCTTGTTTTATAATTTTCTATTGCAAATCAAAGACAAAATATGATGCCCGGTGGATAATACATTGGCAAAAGTAGATATAGAATTATATAGTGGTTCCTGCGAAAATTGAAGCTACGCTTGAAAATTTCCGTATTTTTGTACAGAGGATAGCCGTTAAGGGGTTGAAATTTAATAAATGCAAAATTATAAAATTCTTCAAACCATTGGAGATGTTTTAACAAAATTTTGTAGATTATTACCTACAAAAGATGCATGTTTTGCCAGTGGCTTGCACAACTACATGGCAATGTGAAAAAATTTGTTAGAATCTACAATAAATTACACTAAATTGTCTCAACTTTGTGTTCTGATAGCACAATGCCATTTATTTACTTTACATCCAAACGTTCACTCAAAATTTTGTTTTGAATTAAAGATACTTCACATTAAGAAAAAAATTACGCTTTTACCCACACACAGAAAATGTTCACAAGTGATCGAATTGTCGACAAAAGCTTTGTAATGCGTAACCGCACTGAAAGGATGCTATCATCAAAACCGACTGTAAGCATAAGTGTTTTGAACTGGTTCCAGAAAAACTTGATTTTTATATTATTTATTAGCCGACGCTATTTTCTTAATTTGTAGTGTTCTTTGGCGAATATTATTCTAAAATTCAATTCAAAAACTAGTTAAAACTCGTTTTGAGTGAAAAAATGGAAATAACAGGTTTGTCCGTTTATGGTCAAAAATCGATTAAATCATTGAAAAAGGTGCTTTTAAATCACTTTTGTGAATTGCAAAACTGGTTTCGCGCGTCCTGAACACTTTCACATGAGCGCATCAAAATTGCACTTTTAACACCTACATCAGAAATAGTTATTATTGCTTAACGCAAAGTTCAACTATATTTATTTCTGTCTCAACATTTGAATCCTTTACCTTTATTTCACATCTCCTGAAGTTTTCAGAACGAGTTATCAATGTTTTAGTCAATAAAATTGTATACTATTTGAGTAAAATTCTCTTATCTATTACTCCTTATACCAAAATACCTTGAAAGAGAGAGGTGTTTCCTCTGGGGTCCGATGAACTAATGTACCATTCAAAAACAAAACATTTGCGGCTTCATCTTCTGGTAGAGTCAGTGTCTGGTAGCTAAAAGTAGCTTCTCGCTCCATGCGTTTTAAAACTTCTTGGGATTCCTTCCCAACGCCCACACATAGTAAATCTGGACCACCCATCGTAATATATGATTTAAGATGTTTTTGCTCGGGAACCTAAAAGCCAGCGTGTAAATTACCTGTCAACTTAAATACCTGTTATCCAAGTAAACTTTGTTGGATTAGTAATGAATTTTTCAAATAATACTTTCAGGTGTTTGTTGATGGTATTAGCTACGAACGTCTATTTCTAGACAAGAAATATATAAACATTCGGATGATGTTCAAATGCTGTCGATTCTTCTATTAGCATAAGTGTGCGCATGTAATGAAGTAGCAAATTTAATCATAGCAATGATCATGTAAAAATAGCTTTATTCGTGTGCGGATATCTGATGCAAAAATGTGAAGACTTGCAAAGTTCGTTAACTTAAGTGGAATGACGAATGTCATAAAATTTTTATTGCGTGCTACTATTTAACAGGATTTCATTTAGCTGAAACGTTTGTTTATTTCAAGAAAGGTTTTTTCTATGCGTTAAATCTGGTGTCCGCCGAAACTTATTGATATCGGGGTATCAAACGTACTTAGTAAGTAGTATTATAGTAATTCGGTGGATAAGCGTGCGTTTCTTGGTACTAATCAACTCCAAGGTACACGCTTACCTTTACCTCGCCCTTAAAAGTGTCACCTAAATTGGTCACAACTAAATTTTCAGGTTTTACCTTTATCGGCGTACAAGGATACTCTGGGAAAGCTGCTGCTACGGCTCGAGCTCCTGCCTCATTCGTCCAATACGAAATTCCCACAAAGAATTCTCTGCCTGAAATGGTAAGTGAATTAACATTGCATTCATTCGGATTATGTGGAAATCATTCGATATGATGATTGAGCATAATGGTGATTCTTTTTACCTTACCCGTGAACAGGACATCTCCCCCATCGAGTCGTGCATTTTCGTCGGACATTTCAATAATAGGCATATCTAGTTCCTTCTTTAATACAACCCGAATTGTTTCTGTCTGAAAGAGGATAACAAATTGTTATAAGTTGGTTGAGAAAATTGCTTGATTGACCAGTTATACAATATGATATTGATCATTTTTCCGAGGCGACATTTGATATAAAGTATATGCAGTCAATTGAGACAAAAGAGTATAAAAAAGTTAATGCCTGTTAACAGTCGGTGGTGTTTTTGGTACCTCAATTGAATTTTCTTATACGTTACCTCTCTCTCTAATGAGACTCTTGAAAAATATCTGGGTAACTTTCAAAACTCTTCTAGATTCTAATTCTAATCAATCCAATATTTTTGAATAAGGACATATACAAGATGAATCAAACGTGGAGGAAAAATATTTCTCACAAAAACAGACATAAGTACTCGTAAAACACTACATCGTACATTTGGCATCAATTGATTTGATCGGCATGATGTTTTCCTCATTAAAATTACATGAGCTTCATTTCAATACAAACTGCACAACGTATTGCAGAATTGCCCAACTATGCTTATAGCCTCACTTCACAACATCGGTTTTCATTGTTTCCAAGAATGTTTGAATTTTATATCACCGCTTGCTTGATGTTTAAGGCTTTCTACACATTGTTATTTGGTACGAATTTACTGCAGAATTTAAATAAATAGTCTTTACGTCTTTAAATAAGATAATGGCTGGTTTTAGTGCTTGTTTCTATAAAACTCAAAACTTAATCGATGCCCGTTTAAAAAAAATGAWAGAATTGGGATTATTCCAAATATACATTTCCTGCAAGTTTAAGTTGATTTTCGAAATGTAGTTTTACTAATAGTTTTTCTCGGGGCGGATCCAGCTTCCAAGTCAGGGGGTCATGTTGTGAAAATTCAGTCTTTTGTTGTCTATGAATCTCTAGTCTAGAAAGTCTAGGGTCCACTCTTAAGTTGACCATATGACTAGTAAACGATTTCCAAATATCGCTTAATAGCAAAGTGCATCGTCAGGAGTAAATACATGCGAACATCGAACTCGATTTAAAAAAAATCCAGTACTTACTCTCAAAGTAACACCAGTTACCCCTATATACAGATACGTATAAATGGATTGTTTGTATGAAATAAATATAGACTATAACAATGTTAGATATTGATATTTGCAACAGAAATCATTTAACTTGCATCACGTTCCCACACCGTAATCTTATTTCATACAAAGTAAACATCCGATGCATTGAAGGTAACACAAGTTTGAAAATAGATCAAATAAAACCAAGAGCAAATAAAAGTGCATTCGGGTTGAAACGTACTCTGAAAGCTCATTTAAGCAATATAATATATGGGTTTCGAACAAGAAAAAAATAGTTATGTGTGGCGAGTTTAACGTATTTTTAATTCTATGACCCTATCAATTGTGGTAAATTGTTAACGAACTACGACGGTAACGACACTTATTTTATGGCAATCACAGATTAGTTCTAGTTCCAGTGTTACAAATGTTTGCGAGATCATTGACTTTAACGTTACCTAATCCTTGTTAAATCAAACAACTTTAATGAAATGAATTATTTATGCTTTCGATTAGGTCTCTCCGTATTATACCTATGCCGTTTTCAGGATATTATTAAACTTGTCGGATGTAATGTCTCTTTATTATGTAACACGTGTGCGAACAACATTTACATGCTTCCGCAAGGCGTGACATTTAACTAATGGTAGGACGCATTTTTGAAAATTTGTATTTTGTATAAAAAATTTATATTGCTGAAAGTTTACATAAAAACAATTTCAAAGTTGATGTGGAAGTTTAAGTCTCAATTTGAATGAATATAACTTAATAAAAATTCCCATATTTCAGTTTAGTAGGGTACATTATTCAGTAAAGCTTTAAACATTTTCAAATATTTAAAATATTTTCGTTATTGGAGGAATTCTGTAAAGCAGACAGTTGTCTTCTACAAACCAGACAGATATAGAAAGACAAAAGTGGCTCTTAAAGTGATTCCATTCAACTGGATATTTTAAACTTAAACGATACCAAATAATAATTGAACGGTATTTCAAAAAGTTGGTTTCCTATGAATAAGTATTCAAAAATGGTCAAACTCCAAAACATTTTGTTGGGCACAAACTTGAGCGAAAATAAACGTGCTCTGATTAAATGGATAACTCGGACTTAAGTTTAAAAGTCACGAGATTTCAATTGCCTTTAATAATTATTTAAAGGAGTTGACCTTTGAACCCTGACACAGAAACAGGAAAACATGAAAATATTTCAGCAACTACATCGATAACGACAGATTTTCAAAAAATACAAAGAAAAGTAAATTCAATTCTAAATCAAGTCTAAACATATACACAGTGATGATTTTATTAGTGGTTAATCATTCGAGGAGTTTAGCTGCAAAAATTCCCATATTCAAGAGACTATTGAACAAAAATTCTCATGTAGGTAAGTTTTCAACTGACAGTGAATATTTACAATTGGGTATAAATATACAGGGTGATTGAATCATTAATTCAATTAAATTATTGTAGTTTTTTATATGAACTTTCCTTCTTATTTTTGTGATTAAACATTAAATTTCCCATCAACACTAAAGCATATGGAACTGATACAAAGTAAAGAGCTGAGCGTTTGTTAGCTGTTGCTTTCTATTGTGTCCTATGCAATCAGAGAAGCATTGTCAATTCATAATATCATTCTGTTTGAAAAGACCAGAGGATGGTGGAGAATATGAGCCCTTTGTTTGCGTTTTAAGAGTGAGGCGTCACTCTGAATGGGATTCAATTGAAGTTTTAAATAGCTGAACGTTGCGAGTTTGTTTCACTTTTAATCCCGTGGGATCGAGCAGATTGAAACGGCGAACAAAAAAATTGTGCATGCGATTTAACCACACACTAAGAATATTCTTTCGTTTTATTTACATGTGTTTCTCTTCAATGGAACTACCAAAGTAACAATTTTCAAGTAGGTACTTCACATGAATAAAACAGTATTATTGATCCACTCACAACTTAATTTGATTTGCAATGATATTTTTATTTACAGTTGACCCAGTTGCTGCTTAATGAGTTTAACGATAACCCATTCATTTTCACTGGTCCATCCACGCTCGGATCTAAACTTAACTTAATTTATGATTCAAATGATTCAAACGCAAATAGTATACGGGAATATAGGCTAATTTTGGGTGTAGTCGAAAATTTATGGGGGAAAGTCGTAAAACGAGTATATTTTATTCAATTCCACACAACTAGAACATGAAGCCTGATGGAATTAGCATGTTTTTATCGCCAGCACTGCTCACTTTATTCAATTGACAATAGAATATGGTCATATATTATTTGAACCTTGGGGAATTTAGTAGACAAATGGCTGTTCTCAGAAGTTTTTTTAATTTGCATTCAGCACGTCAGAGAATCGGATCATATCAGGACAATTAGCAGCCAACAAAAGTAGAAGTCTTTCATCTGATAATTAACAGAAGTCGTAAAGAATCGCCAGCAACCGTTTGAAAAAAGTATACAAAGCGCAAATCCGGTTTTTGATGGCATTTATCTAAATGCTAATTAAATCTATTCCTTCACTGGAACTAAATGTGATTTTGCAAAATATATTGTTAAAGCTATGCGACAATAACCCGTTGGCCTGAAATAAATCCATTCATTCGTTAATAATCAAATGACAAACTGATGTAGGATAAAGGATGCTGATGAAGTGAACCCTAAACTAAAATAAGCTTATTTTAGAACTTATAATAAACGGAGACCAACGCATATCACCGAGTACAAATTAAAAAAATGAATTTAGTTTGAATGAACGTAATTTTGACCATCTACCTATTGCAAGATGGGATTGGTCTATCGGTGAATATAAATTTTCTAAAGAAAACTGAACTTCTAAAAAAATTTAAAAAAAATTTGATTACCTAAGCGGCAACAAAATATACACGAATATATTACGCTTATTAATATCTTTTTTATATCTATATTGTAAATGTTTTTTCATGGTTTAGCTGAAAAGCAGGGAACTTGCAGCTGTTTCAACTATTAATAAATAATATTTTTAAGTAATAAATAATAAGCTAAATTGGAAAACCACTTAGGTGCTTAAGCTTAACTCCCAATTGAAACCCTTAAAATAATATTTTGCGTCCATATTAAATCGGTTGTGCATGTAAATCCACAATAATTCCTCCGTTTCAACCGTTTCAGAGTAGGATTGGCAATTTAAATTGTGTATTGTGTGTATCAGTCCCCTATCTACCTTTTTAACTATAAATTGCTTACGTATAACTTCTCATGCAAATACGGCCGAGGGTCGTTAGTTCGGGGAATTGCATCTGTTTCAGAAATAGGTATACTAATGCAGGCAAATTGTAAAATATGATGCTTAACAAATTATGCGAATGTGATACCTACGTATAACTTTTGATGGTAATTTAATGCTACCGAGGAAGCCAGAAAAATCATCACATTTCATTAAACAACAGTTTGATATTTTGAGGTAGAAAAGTTTTTGATGGATTCATGGTTTGATACGGTTTTTAAATGGTATTTTTCACCCTGCCAGCACGCTGTGATGATGATTAATTCACTTCGATTGGGTAATTATGCAGATATAAACGTCATTTATAGATCTGCAAATTATTCTGTTTACGATTTAAGTTCGTTTAATCTGGTTGCTTTAAATTTTTTTGTCTTATACGGGCTTTATACATAGCAGATCTTATTTCCGCTCGCACCGGACTAAATGATAAAACAATTTGTTTTGGCTCTTTTATTAGTAACTTTATCTCTTTTAGTTTATATATTTATATATTTTATACAGAGAAATTGTTTTTTTCTAGTGCTCAATTCAAAACCCGTACTTCAACTCGTAAACCGAGCTATTACATTTAGACTCAGCAAAATGAGAGCAGGAAAAATTATTAGAAACATTTTGCATTAGGACATCCCCAGAAATGTGTCTCTTTCCACATATATAAATGTATAAAATAACACGCACTGATAATCAATATCTGATTATGTTCAAATGTGATCTGAAATTAAATACTATTATTAGCAGTGGCAACTTGAGGTAAATCTCTCGAAAACTGGAAAAGTGAGAATTTAAATCGACATTTTATTTCATAATTTTAATTTAAAAAAAATCGATTTTCAAGGTGTAGTCTTCTTTTGAATGTTTATAACTACTTGTTTTTGCGACTTTTATCAACTCTTTCACTTTCATGTATTTTATACACGTATAGTTTTATGCAACATTAAAACGTTAACATTTGTTTCGAAGATTTGTCAAATAATCCAACTCGCTTTATTTACTTCAAGCGACCATTCTAAGTACAATATGTAAATAACCGACATTAAAAAAATATACATATTTCGCCATGCTGTTGGAATTAATTGGCTAAAAGATCTTATCACTCAAACTTGAATTTGGATCGTTARTTTTCTATACAGGGTGGACATTTCGCCAATCTTTGTTGCATGGGTAACTTTTCCGAGCTATTTCTAAAGAGAAATAACCCCCTTGCAATATGAGAYGGATCATCAATAACTGTAATTMCGGCCCTRATTTTAAAGTATTTATACTTAAGAAAAGTTTTAGAATAAGACCTAATACGAGTGACGCAATAAACAACATAAAGTTTGTAAATTGGCTCAAAAAACGACCGATTTATTGCACCTAACAGACATCCTTTTGAATATTGAGATTGCTAATAATAGCCAATAAAATTTGATGATTTTATTATTTTAAGTTTAGTACATACAGGGTGGTTTTTTAGTGCGATAGACACTTATTTATTGGATTCCAAAGCCACCTTACAAAATGTAGCAACTTTTTGAAATTTTTAAATAAAGGAAATTATAATTTGAAAACGGTTGATTTCACAGCTTAAAGTGTAAATGCAAATTTGTAACTTTGTAAATTGTCTATCTAATTAATTATACAGGTATAATTATATACAGGTACTTCCATTTGAATTGCGTTAAAAAGTTTTAGATTGAAGTCCACATTGTTAACACCCTGTACAGTGTATTGATATTTTGGTTCAATAGAACTCTTAACGGATCTGTGGTGATTGGAAAGACGTACTCTTTAACAGCTTTTTTTGCTTCTACAATTAATTTTTAGATACCATGTTTTTAAGAAAAAATTTACTTAAATGGCGATAATCTGCCAATGTCGCAAGTAAGACAAAAACAATTTACGGTGCATATGCAGCGTTTCAAGCTGCATTCCATGAGCTAATGAAAAATGGGTAGTTCTATTTAAAAAAATACACTTTGATCTT